CCGACCACATGCCTTTAAATTTTGGTACACTGAATAATAATATATTATAGGAGCCTAATGCACATCATTGTGTTTTTCAGATAAGATTCAAAATGGCTGACTGGCGGCCATTTGTTGTAATGAATGGGCTTCTTGAGCCATATCTCTGACTTGCTCTGACTGATTATGTTCAAATTTTTGATATTCATTATACATCATGTCATTGATATACGGATATATTGGTTTGACGATCCTATTAACAGGCCATTTTTGTACTAAAAAAATCATCAATATCAAGCATTTTTGGCATTTATGGATGAATTTCATTCAAATTTTATATATTCATTATACATCATGTTATAGATATATACAAGTATTCAAAATGGCTGATTTTGTTTTAATTAAGGTTGTTCCAGAGCAATATCTCTCAATATGGACAAGTACTCGTTTGATGATTAGATACAAATGTCAATCATTTTAATGTTAAACAATCATCATAATCATATTTCTGACATGATTATATTCCAGCTATATTACTATAAACAAAACTATATATCTTAAATTCAATAACTAACTGGGACTGTGACATGCATGGCTTGTTGACTTGTGGTACGACAATTGTGCTCGAACAGCCTGGGGAGAAGAATAATGTGAAGTGTATGGTACGCACAATGTCTGATTTGTGAGTTTCTCAGAGGGTGATGTTTCAATGTGTAAAATAGAACTTCTATAATTTCAGGTGCGAGAAATAGCGTATAAAATATTCCTTTATCCAAACCCCCAACAAGAGGCGATACTCAGCAAGCTGTTGACAGCACGCTTTGAGTTGGCCAATTTAGTGGGTTACCCTACATATGCACACAGGGCGTTGAAATCGTCATTGGCTAAAGACCCTGAAAATGTCATGAAATTCTTGGAGAAGACTGCAGATAAAGTACATGACAGGTAAGAGTGAATGTTATTGCATTGTTGCGTTATTTTCAAAATTCAGATTCAGAAATAACTTCTTAGTCTTTGTTCGTGAACATTGTCGCAGTACAGAACATTATGTTATATGATTGGAGTAGAAAGCTCATGTCCTGTATGTACGGCACTACACAGAATTGGATAAACATCACAATAATTATTGCATTGACTTTTGATTTAAAAATTTGCATTTCAATACTGATATTTTTATTTCTTGTGTCATTGTTGAACAGAGCCAGAACAGAAATATCCCAACTCAAAGCAATCAAGAGGCAGTTTAACAGTACTAATCCAGTAAGCTATGGTTTAATTTATATTTCAATTTCTGAATCTGGACAAACTTATCTTATCTGCAATACTATTGGCTGATTGCTTCATTCATGGGTTTTACTATCCAATGAAAAGAGTTTGTTGTATTGGCTGTTTACTTCTTATTTTCTTAACAGGATATCATGCCTTGGGATTTGCCATACTATACAGGGATAGCAAAACACCAGAAGTAAGTTCAAATGGAGGATTTGATTGGTTGAGCTTTATCATATATTTCCAAAACAGAACTAAAAATTGCCATCATTGTTATGAATGCTCATTTGTAACATTCTTATTTTTACATGCTGAAAAAAAAAATGCCATTATTAGATTTGTGATATCATATTTGTTCTATTAGTACATACATGTAACACAGGTCAGTTTCTGGTCATAGTATGTCATATTTCAATGATCCAGGATACAATGAATAAAACTGTTGTTTTACTTGTGCTTTTAATATAGCAAATACCATACTCACTTCATTAGAAGCATATCCCTAATAAAAGAGTACGCTAACAAAAAA